TGATATTACTGTTACATTTGCCAAAATTACAATCATTTTTTGTTTCTATATCATCTTTGATTCATTTCCTAACAACCATAGAAGTTTTAGAAATAGCTAAATCACACTTCAGTAGGAATTTTCTAACACCAACATTTTAAAAATGTCAAGCTACCTGAATGTACTTAAAATTGGCTGTTGAAAAAAAACAAAAAAACTTAGGAGAATATTTATGAATGGGCCCTAGGAATGGAGAGGAAAAAACATGTGATTGGGTTAGAATCCCACAGAACATGCAATGGCAACACCCATACAATTTTCAAAAATTGCTATAATATCAGAAAATTAATTTGTGATCACTATACTTCATGAGGAATTAGAAAATTAAAAAAGTAATGCTTTTAAAAGTAGTTAGTGGATGACACCTCAAGTAGAATTAGAATTAGGACAATCCCCAAAGTTAAATCCCAGGACAACTGCTTCTATCATTGTTAAAATATTTTGGATACACAATATGTATTGATGGATATTATTTTGACCACAAAATACAGTTTATTAACTCACAAGTAGAACATGTGTGTTCTCTTCTATCATTGTTAAAATATTTTGGATACACAATATGTATTGATGGATATTATTTTGACCAAAAAATACAGTTTATTAACTCACAAGTAGAACATGTGTGTTCTACAAATTTTAGCAATTTGACCTTTTATGCACAACTGTCCACATTCTTTAGGAAAGTGCCCAGGTTTATGGCAAAATGAAAAACTAATTATCCTTGCTAAGTAAGGCTGAGTTAGTTTGGTTATTATGCCGATTTATCCAACTAAATGAGTTGACCTACCCAAACTGTGATTTTTTAAAAAGCCATTATACTTAGAAGAACACTGCTTCTGCCAAAGAAACCCCATCAGAGATCCTCCAGTGAACAAGAATGAGTGTGTTCTGCTGCAATCCCTCTCTTTGTATAAACATCTGAGATTGGTGATATAGGCTCTGAAGCATTTCCTTTATTTAAGACTCGGGGAGTTAAATAAGGGAAATGACTGGATGGCCCTAAAACACTGTAGATCATACAGACTGGACCAACACCCTGCCTTTGCCATCCCTTTATCGGCAGTTCCTAAGTGAAGAGGAAATGAAAGCTGCTCTCAGAGCCCACTGTCTATCTTCCAGTTTGTTGTTTATATATGAATAGCAAGTTGTAATTAGTCGCTATAAAAATACACCATGTCATTAATCTCGATCTTATTTTCTATTTTAGTTTTTAAATGGACATCCACAGAAAACCCATATATTCCTCACATTTATATAAACATCCAAAAAGGACAATCACTCCTTTCAAAATCGCTGCAAATAGTAAAGTAGTTGATAGTTACAGAAAAGAAACACTTTTTTAAATGGACATCCACAGAAAACCCATATATTCCTCACATTTATATAAACATCCAAAAAAGACAATCACTCCTTTCAAAATCGCTGCAAATAGTAAAGTAGTTGATAGTTACAGAAAAGAAACACTTTTTTTTTTATATTTTTAGGCATTCCCCTCTGCAGATGTTGACCTCTTGTTAGTAGGAGAAACAGAAAGTAAGACACTGGCTGTGCTGGTCTCATGGTATTTTTAAAGGGAGGTATTATGTAACATTTCAGTAATAGCAAAGTGGAAACAATTACAAATTTAGGAAATGTTAGTTTTTAAAGCAAATTACAGAACTCCAGATTTTCTATAAATCAGTAAAATTTCAAAATCAGTAATAATCAAATATTTAGAATCACTAATTTATGCTGAATAGTCAGCGTTTTAAATTATCCAAATCATCAGATTTGATGTGATCTTTTATACTGATTCAGATATTGACTAATCTCAATAAGAAACTCAATTTTTTTCTTTATCCAGAGTATAATGGAGTAAACTTACAGCCTGCTACCAGACTTTCCAACCTAATACTCACAAGACAGAAGTCTCAGGACACTGGCAGAAACACAGGCCGACAAATACACCTAAACACATAAACAAGGGAAAGCTCAAAAAAATCCCTACAGTTTTTTAAGAAAAACTTTTGAGCATCAAAAAGGAGGGTCCTTTAATGATCTATTTGTCTTGAATTTGAGAGAATATACAGCTAGATATAAGTCATCACTGTTTAAATACGTAATAGGTCAGGTTGCTTGTAAAATGACCCTTCCATGTTTAAAAACAGTATCAAAATCAATGTTTACTTTATGATAATTTTAAAATTAAACCAATATAAAATACAAAGATTGCAACAAGTACAAGTCAACCCTTCTTTTATTTGAAAACGCCTTAAAATCAGAGAGCACTATTCTTTTTATTTAATATTGATTGTATTTAAATCAAGGCACAACATTCAAAAAATTATTTGGTTATCTATAGTTATATGTTGGCTGTTTGTAAATATGACAGTTGTTCATCTAATAAAAGAGTAAAATACCACAGTTAATTTTATGGAAAAAGTCTTACAAACACATTATAAATTACAACTAATTTTTTAATGTTTCAAGATTTACTGTATTAATAAAATGACCAAAATGTCATTATCAGCAGTATACATGAAAAGTATCACCTTTCATTTTCGCACATACTTTCTCCAAAAAGGCAGAGGTTGGTGGCTTCACGTGCTTTTCTTATCTACTTTTGTTACTGCAATTCAAGATCATCATGCCTATACTAATCTATTATGGCCGAGGTCACTGAAGTTGTGCCAAAATTCAATAATTATGTTCAATCTAATGTAGCAATGCATTTATCTCATTGCTGAAATTTAGACCATTTAGAGCAAAATATTTAAGTGTTAAAATGCTCACCTAAAATGCCCTATTATAAACATTTCTCACATTTCAAAAATTGTGGATAAAATATTGCAGTTTTAAAGCTTTCTTTTCAATACAGAATAAAAGTTGACACTTTTAATATCTCTTATAATTGGGGGAAAGAAAGTATTTTTTGTGCCTGTTGCATAAAACCCTGTCACACTTAAAATGGTAAAGGTTTAAATTTAAATTGACAACTACAAATGAATTTCACTTTCTCTGAAGAGTGAAGAAGTTTGCACGTTGTAAAATTGAATAGGTTTTAGTATTTCCAAAAAGTATCAAAAAATAAGGAAAAAAATTATTAAAGCAATTCTTCACAAATAGAGTAAGTTCAACAAAACTACATTTTAAAAGAAATTGCATCTCTGAATATTGTTTTTAAAATGTTAACTCAATGAAGAAAATGTAATCAAAGTTTTCCTTTTATGGTCCCAAGGAAAATTAGCTAATAATTCTGCCAAAAAGTCTACACTACTGAAATACTCAATTATAATTCATTGCTATAGCAAAAGAAAGTAAATTTCTTAGCTATTTCAGTAAAGACTATAATTTAAGTTGTTCTCAATACTTACTTGTTGGTACTTCAACTCAAAAATATTTGTCAATAATCATGTGTGCAATTAAGTTTCTTCTGAACTCACAAACTAACATATTTGTGTACTCTAAAAGTTCTTTCTATATTGGATGGCATTTATTTTGCTAAGACATCTAATTAAGCCAGCCCCCCAAAAAACACCCGAAAATTTTTAGTAGAAACATTTTTCAGTAAATTTTAGAGATATATTCTGCCAATTCCAAATGCTAAGTAAAACAATTGACTCAAACAAATAAAACAGAAGATGTGTATGAGAGCTAAAATTAACATAAAATAATTAAAAATTATTTCTAAGTGAGAATAGTGCTGAACAAGGCAAGCTATCTTATTTTTCCTGCACCTGTTTGGTAGTAGTAAATGGTAAAATATTGTTTTTATACAAATTTTGAACCATCTGCCAATATTAACTTTTTTATTAAATAACAAAGACTATATTAAATGTGAATTCAGCTGTGAACTCACATACAAAGAGAAATTATCCAGGTAAATTTCTATAAATAGCAATTTATAACCCTTATGGATTTTAATGTTAACTGATATGATAATTCAAACACTCCATGCCTCAATTCAACTAACAGCAAGGTGTATACAGTATCATAATTCAGTGTAAAGGAATACAAAAATATATATATGTATATTACACATATACATAAATTGACCTGAAGAGAATCAAGATGCATCTTCTATTCCTAAAATTTACTTGAAGTTAATTTTCATTTTTTTCTGTGTCCTAAATTAGCAACATTCTACACTGTGTAAATGTGAAAGAGAAGCTAAGCATAATGATAAATATATAATAAATATACTTATTAAGACAGTTCTAAATCAGGATTCTCTTAAAGAATAATACATCTTGCTCTCATCAATATTTTAAAGAAAAATATGATTATTTATAAGTAAAAAATAAAGTTGCACTCCAGATTATTATAGTCTAACATATGAAGCAAAATAGTATTTAGGATAGTGATAATGGGATTTCTTAAAAAAAAAAAAAAAAAACAGAAAAACTGAGATTCCACTTTTCTGCTTTTAACTACTCTGCAGCACTAGTAGCTTTTTTTAATGTCTAAAGATATTGCTGAAAATGGCTATATAAAATCTGAGGTAATCTCTGATTACTACGGTATTTCATTGCAACTTGTGAATTTAACTCTTAAAACACTGGAGTATAAAACAACGTATCGGTTTACATGACAAAATTTAGTTATACTCATATCAAAATTAATAACACTTCCAGAAATTGGGTGGAAGTGCCTTTGAACTTCAGAATTTCTTTCATGAAAAATCATCTTTTTATTGCAAAATAGCAATTATATATAATTATTCGAAGTTATTTAGCCATGTTTACATACCAAACATTTCTATTAAATAGAAATTTCTATTTCTATTATTATTGTTAGAAATAATTTCAAGGTGTTAATAAGTTTTTAAAATTATATAACAGATGTTAACATTCTTTTAAATCCCAAACGCCATGACATTTTAACATACCCAAAAACCCCATTTTAAAAAGTTAAGCTTAATTGTGCGCACAACGAAACTTCTAGAAAACTTCATTACTTACTGTTCACTGAGTATTACTTACAGAGATTAACAGTTTTAAGAATTCATCTGTTATTTATCCTGAAGTGTTTTGAAAAACCTTTTTGCACCGTATACTTCTCAATGAGATGATCACCCCTACTCTGGTCTGCTGAGAAAAACAAAAAATCGGTAAATCTTCTTCAAGATTGTTCTTCTAACATATTTTAGGTGGCAACAAGCAAGGAATTCATAATGGTAAAAGCAACAATATTAGAAAAAACTTTTCTTAAAATGCTTGTTTCATATTTACTGTATAAAGTCATTTTGACATGCCTACACAACTGGTTGTGGCAGCTTTCAGACATGATTTCTAATTAAAAAAAAAAAAAAAATTGCTCCAGGTTCTTTAGAGAAAGCTTGCCGCTGGGAAGTTGATTTTGGCCAAGTGCCAAAATCATGTGCAAAGGGGCCTCATTACCGATTCATGGCAGCCTTCAGCACTAACAAAAAATGTGACCCAACAGGCTAAATCAGCGACTAAAATTAAAAAGTAGGAGACAAAGACAACTTACTTAATATTCCTTCCAAAGCAACATTAAACTTTTTTTTGGTAATTAAACCCTTGTTAGTCTAATGCAGTGTTCCTCTGTCCTCAAATGATTGTACAATTACTCTTTAAAACTTGTCAATTTCCCTTCTAAATAACACTTTCTTTCTGCGGCAGTTTACAAAGATTTCGCTATGTAATAAAACTCCATATCCACTGTAATCGGTTCAATAGCAGAAAACAAAATCGTAAAAATGCAGACTACAGTATTCCTTTAAGATTTAAACAAACAAACAAAAAATAAGCAAACAATAGTCAGTACATTTTAAACTTCTACAGAAGTGAACATGCACCCTGTAAACCCACATCGATTGCGATTAACCAGTCTCACTGCCCAACTTTCCCCCCCAAAAGTAGATTTGATAGGTACGTAGCCTTACCTATGTGTCTTCTGGCTTTTCTGCAGATCAAAAAGTTTCCTGCCTAAGCACACAGATATTCTTTCACAAACCATAAAGGGCCTTTTATGAAGCCAGCACTGTAACAGGCTGCTTTCCACACCACGTTGAGAGCCCAGTGCGTCAGCTCTCTAGATAAAATACATTGCTAATACACAATTAGTGGGAGACGTTGCCTACTAGAGAATTTATCTTAACGAAAGAAGGAAAAAAAGAAGCTTTTTTTTTTTTTTTTTTTTTTGAAATAGCAAAGAGGGTGCGGTCAGATGTTAGGTTTTGCCTGAGAAAAGGGCCCTACACTGCACTAGTACCTAAATACTAGCAGAAGCTGCCTGGGAAGGGAGCCAATGGAAGGACTTTGTCTGACCCAGCTGCCAATCTCCCCTGAAGCCGTGCGCCAGACTAAACACTCACACTATTTTAACTCAAATCAGGCTACAGCAGCTGTTTGCTTTCCGGCTCCGAGCTCTGCACCCACCATGGCCTGTGCAGTTCACCCGCGAGCTTTGCTAGCTGCCTGGCTGAAATCTGTTCCAGGTTGGGATTTGTCATTGGAGAGCAAATTTTAACCCTATTCCCCGTGATAAAAGGAGACCGTTTGTTGTTCAACATTCAGATCTGGTCATTTGAGGTAATTTTACAATTTTTTAAAAGAAGAGCTATATTTTGTATCATGTAGGAAATTTGGGATTTGAAGGGAACAAGGATTCCTACATTGCTTTAAAATTCTAATGTAAAGTCTTCTGATATGTTTAACACTAAAATAGACCTTGTGGACAGCAATAACAAGGCCCCTACAATACACCGCTGAGAACAAAGATGGTACCCATTCACACCAACTCAAACGTCTTTGACCACAGCAAGATGGAAAGTGAGCATCACAGAACTGGGGCAACTCACGTCATTCTAGGAGTTAGTTATGACTCTGCAGAGCTCTGGAAAGTTCCTCCAGAAGCAACAACAAACATGCAAGAAGTTTGTTTTCCTTATTTGAAAAGGTACCAAGTGACCCAATTTACCTTTCCTAAATTTCTAAACTTAGTTATTATTAGGCTGAGTGTAAAAATCACATTCTGAATTGTAAAACATTAAATTTGCCCATTGGTAGTCTAAGTAAAAAAGAAACTAGAGAGAAGTTTGTCAGGGGGAGTACAATTTAAATAATAACCAAAGTTACCTGATTGCTGTAGGGGAAAAAAACTCATTTGATAATTAAGATCTATTGACACCTGACAGGAGCCAAACAGTGGGTATGTGGAGAAAATAAATCAATAAGTCATTCAACATGTGGAAGAAGGAAGCTGACAGGTATAGTAAGAGGGACCATAACTGAGTTATTTTTACTCCTATCTATTGGACAGAAATGGTGAGAGAAGCCAGCATCTTTTTATTTAGGGATTTTCGTTTCTGTTGTTTTATCGGGCAAGAGGATGTCTCTACATGTAGGGCAAATAGCTGGTAAGAATTTTTTAAAAAAAAAACAACTAATTATGATCTGGCTGTGATGGTTCGCACAGTAGTCAGAAGGTGAGCAAAAAATGAAGTGTTTCTGAAATACTCTAAAACTGTGTTCACGAATTTTTTCCAGAAAGTTGTTTTTTCTGCTTTAAGCAGAGTTTACTTTGTTTCTATTCTTGCCCCAAATGATGTGTGTGTCTTCTTATCTTTGAAACTAGTGGTATAAATTACAAAAATTGTAATTTATAATAAAATGTTATTTCCTTAAGTAGGAAGCAGCAAAGATGGTTATAGAGAGTTTGAAATATTAGGTTTTATGGGTGCACATAAAATGAAAGGCCTAATTGATTAAAAATGCATGCCATGATAGCATTACATAGCAGGTGAGTTACTATCCTTATTCTAAAAGTGATAGACGTAAAAACCCAAAAGATTCCCATTGGATCTGGTGTCACATGTAGCAGTGCATAGTTTGATGCTCAGAATTCTTATAGAAATGCTGGGAAATGGTTTTTCTTGTGCCCTCTTCTTCCAATCCAAGAAAATATTCAACATGCTTCTCTGAATGTTCTATTACAATCTACCAGATAATCACCCACCATCACATGTCTAAATGTATCTCCACCAGTAGCTACAGAATGCAAGCCCTACAGTTTGAGTAATCACTTCACTTACACTGCTTTCATGTCTGGTCCTTACACATCTCATGCACAATAGCAATTAGTTCACATCAAGAGTGCTATGGGCTGGATTTTGTCCTCGCAAACTTCAGATGCTGAAGTTCTAACTCCCAGTACCTCAGAATGTGACTTTATGTGGAGATGGGGCCTTTAAAGAGGAATTTCAGCTGAATGAGGTCATTAGGGTGGGCCTTAATCCAATATGACAGGTGTGCTTGTGAGAAGAGATTAGGACACAGAAATGCACAGAGGGAAGACCACGTGAAGACACAGGAAGACGAGGGCCATCTGCAAAGCAAGAAGAGGGATTCAGAAGCAACTAACCCTACCGACACCTCGATATTGGACTTCTAGCCTCCAAAATTGTGAGGAAATAAATTTCTGATGTTTAAGCCACCCAGTTGATGGCATTTGTTATTTGTAGCAAACTAATACAATGACTAAGTATAAAGGAGTGAGAAATTTTTCTATTTACTATGGAAATACAATTCATTTTTATGATCAAGTGTTTGATTTTGTCCAGGGGAGCATGTAATTTATGGAGAAAGTGTACTTTATTCAGAAAAAAATTTTTAAAGTATGTGTATGTCAGAGTTTTATATAAAAGGTAGAAGATGTTGTTAAAAATGAAGGAAAATATAACACCTGTGTAGTACATCCCTAAGAGGTTGGGTAGAACCTGTGAATATGATAGAATGGTTGCTTTGCTGTAAGAGTCAATGAGACTTCCATGTAAAGTTAGCAGAGTGAAAAAAAAGAAGCCAATAGCACACTAATACCCCTGTCCAGAAAAAGTAAGGAAAAGGTGATTGAAGTTACCACTGCAATAGGATATTGTTTTACCTACTAACAATTCCCACTACAAGCCACCTAGATATGAGCATTCATTGCTTCATCCTTTGATTCACCTATCCCCTCAAAAATTCTATTTAATGCTGACCTTGGGTGGGGCACTGGAATAAGTGTTGTGTGGTATAAAAAAACACAGCCTCTGATCTCACGTGGCTGATAACCTAGGAAGCAAACTGAAAGAAAAACATCCAGTTAAGAGAATGGCACTGTGTGCGTTGAGCACTTCAGAATGCTGAGGGGGTGATGTACAGTGGTTTTGTAAATGTGATAGAATGTTATGACAATATTGTTAATTTTCATGTATTCAAACACGTATAATAAACAAATTACTCCAAAATCACCATCATGAATAATGCTGCATTTTTGGTCACTTTACAGCTATATAATGTTATTGTCTTAAAATGCCTAAATACATCATTGATTGTATGAAATTATGCTTATACTAATAAACATTTTCCTTCTTATTTTCCATGCTTGTTAAGACCAGCAAGACCATATATCCCTTGAAATTCTAACGTTTAAAAATAAAATCCAAGACACAGACATAATCTTTAGGCAGAAAAACCCATTATTACTTTAACATAAATTGTGAACTA